CCCCAAAACCCCAAAACCCCACTGATCTAAATATATAGAAAATAATGAATATCATTAATGTAGATAATAATTGAACTATTAGTAGCTAACCGTATTTTAACTTAATTATTAACTAATAGGAAAATAAGTATGAATTTTGTTATCTCATTGATTACAACTGCTTTTGCCTCCTTTAATTTGGCATAATTTCTTTAAGATGCCATCTACACTATAAATCTGGACCCATTGCTTCAACCAGTTGCTCCAAAGATTTAGTTCTTTGAAGAGGTGGTAATTGCTGCAAATGAACTTGAATTTTGCTTTTATCCATCAGCTGCTCTCCATAGTCCACTCTTCATCATGCCATATCTAGAGACTATTGGAGTCGATGAAAGATACCATTACATTATTAGTCCTGCAAGGTTATAGACAGGATTCAAGAATATTAACAAGCCAACTAAAGATTAGATTCCTTTCATTACTCACAGTGTATGGTTAACTAATCCAAGAAATCCAAAAGAAATGCTCTCATAAGTTGATGAATCTTCTATGCATGGATACGACTTCCATTTGAATGTTACTCACGCAACATTGAGTAAACACAACTTCACATCATACCTATGGACAAACAATATTGATGTGCTTCCAGAGACATAAAAATGGGCTCTAAAGCAGGGAGTTATAATGAGAGAACTCTCAGAATTTTCCAGTGTTAAAGAGCATAAACCGATCCTTGATGAAATTGATAGATCTATTGAATTGAAATAATTTGCTGGAGGTGCTGACATAGCTAGACTTTTGATATTGTATGAGCTTGGTGGGTTATATACTGATCAAGACCATTAAATAATTCAATATGATCCTCTACTTAATAAAATGAACCTTTTTTTCTATGAGCATATTAACGTTGGATTCCACACATTAGAAAATTCATTAATAGGAGCAAGCCCAAAAAATAATTATATCTTGGAATATATGAGATCAGCAGTTCGCACAAGGTAAGGCTAGCACACTTCTCATTTTGAGTCATCATGCTATTAGAAATCAGAACGCTATATCCACTATGAAACAGGACCATTCAGAATGTCTAGTGTGTTCAACTAATTGTTAATCAACGGTAATTTGGATGATTAGCTATTAGTTGTATTGGACTAAAAAATCACATTTGATGGGTTCAATTACATTAATAGCACAGAGGTTTCATAATACAATAATGTAGTTTTCAAAGATGGAACTCATAACTTAAATGTTTAATTTAAGCACCATCCAACTGGCTCTTGGAAGGATCCTAATTAAGAAAAAAGATTTTACGGATGGTAAAATAAAAACAGTGGTCGATCAGATTATTAGACGGCTTTAATATAAAGTTGAATATATTTAATTTAATAAAACTCAGTTCCAACCACAATATGTGCATTTTTGAATTAGGGGTTTTGGGGTTTTGGGGTTTTGGGG